ATTTGTTTGTTTTTTTTTAATTTACGCATTACAAATAAAATACTTGAAAGGACGTAACTAAACGCATTATCAAAAGTAGTGTTAGTTTCCCACTTTTCTAGCTTCCGATTTGTTTTTCTTCTTTTCTTGAAATAGTTGGTCTCTCTCTCTCTCTCTCTCTCTCTCTCATACTCAGACGTAATGTCTTTTTATTTATGAAAATTATTAAAAATCTAGATGCAATCTCAGAGATACTCCCCGCATCTTCCTTACGATAGTCCGTGTCAAGATATTACAAAATTCGTGTCGAGGAAAAGACGTTAATTAATCCCGGATACAATCTCCAAAAAAACCTTTGTTCGTCGTCGGTTTGATAATTTCCCGTGACAAAAAGGCGGCGTATCGGACGGTCTCAAGTGTGCCAGGACGGTAATGACGATCCGGCGTGTAAAAAGGCGATCGGCTGGTACGCGGGCGTGAAAGAGGAACGATATACATCGCTCTCTGATGAGCCAGCGAAAGAGGGCGGAGGCGAGAACCTGCAAACAGATGCAAATTGCGCCTCGGGACTCCCGATCCGCCTACCTGACAACGCGGACAGTAGTGACGTAGACCGTTACGCCGTAAATAATCTACCCCGTCCGAGCATTCAACCCCCCTACTCCTCCTTCTTTTTCTCATTTCCATATGCCTCTCTTTCGTTCTTTTCTGCGATGCCACTCGATCGGTCGCTCGAAACTTTTACTCCACAGCGTCGATATATTAATGTCGCTATTAAATAAATAGGGGAAATATATACAATAAACATAGCCGACGATAAGAAAGTGTAATTTGTAAGTCGCTTGGTCATAGATCGACTTTAGAAAATACAATACCTGAATATTTAATATACTTGGACTAATGTTTGGTAATGTTTGTCAAGTGTATTTTGGCGTTGATTTCGTCCAATCTAGAATATATCTGGTAGAATTAACCAAAGACATCATCTCATCTTTCAAAAATATTTATTTTTGAAAATTCTTTGTTATTTTACACACACATGTGATGACTATGATACTGTGTTATTTCGGGATAATTAATTTTGGTATAAATATAGAGTAACAAGATGAACAAGTTATACGTTAATTGAGTTGAATAACATTCTAAAACCATGAACAAGTCGCCAGCGTTTCGCGATGTGATTTTCACGACTAAGAAGGCCACGCGAATCATCCCGCGTGCATCGGATCATTAATAGCCAATTAATTAGTCTGTCAGGCGGCATGTCTCCCGGCTGCGGTAATCGGTCTTCGTGTAAGCGTCGATTAACAGCGGGATGTATTCTCAACGGCAGAGCGTAGTTGATAAATAACAAGCCGCGTCTCATGGAACAAGATTAATTATTCTTCTCGCGGGCACTCGCGTTGGAAGATTGCAAATTTTTCACATGTTATAAATTGGCACGAAGTTTCTAGATAATTTATTTCAGGTTGCGTCTCTTTATATTTTACAACGTGATCACGTTAGGCGGGTTTGAAAAATATAATTTAGGAGTTGACGTGCGTGCGGCAAAAATCTAAAATGTTCAGTTTCAAACGAACACATTTTCTACTTGCAATTGAGAAAAATAGAAAAATTTTTATTCTACAGCGTCGATATATTAATGTCGCTTTGTAGAAAAGATTAATACAAGGTGGATAGAGTTGCTTCGCCGGGAAATCAACCCGGGACTTGAACTCGCATAGGTTGTTTTCCCGATTCTATTCAAAGCTTTTGACCGGGAAGAAGTGGCAGAAGCATTCGCAACGGAGCATTCTTTCGGCAAAGGTGCCGACTTTTTTGCTGCAAAATAATCTATTCAGTTTTAGATTCTTTCATTTGTTGCGCAATGCTCAATGGGATCTCAATATATATTACGCTTATAACGATGTTGACAGATATACTGAAGCAAAACTGCAGGAGTTTTTTAAGTGCGAAATCAATATTGTCAGTAGTTAAATTTTGCAGTCGAAAAAAACGACTGGAAAGAAGAAACTATTCTGTGTTAATTGAAATTCTTGAAGAAATAAATTTGAAGCTTTATTAAAAACATCTTTAAAGGCTTAACTAGAATTTGTAAAATATATATTAAAAACATTATACTAGAAACATTTCTTTTCTCTTTCTCCCTCCCCCGCCCGTCCTCAAATGCCTAATATCAATTTAATATCTTAATAGCTATGAAATTTATTTTTTCGTAATAGAAAAATTAAAGTCCATTATATATTTTATTATATTTGAATTTATACAATTATTCTTTTATTTATAAAAATTTTCATTCTTTGTAAAAAATTTTATTAATGAATAATGTTATATCTAAGATATGCTAAAAATAATTTCACCAGGGCAAAGCAGCAGGGAGTCAAAAACGTGACACTAATAGAAAAATTGGAAAGCGCATGACAATAAAGGTAACAAAAAAGAAATATAGCATACGATAAAATTTACAGTTAGGGTTGTGCAATATTTTTCACGTTAATTACTTCTATGAGCATTCAATTTCCGTCCTCTCTCACTTTCCATCCAAAAACACTTTATTAATAAATATTGAGCTAACAAATTTAATTATTAAAATAGAATTTTAATACCTTCGTTTTATAAGTTTGTAAAATCAGTTTCCTGTAAAAGATTAAAATCCTGTAAAATAACTATATCTTTTCTTAATTTTCATTGAATTCATTCAATGTCTTGGTACTTTCACTGCAATTTTGTTAACTTTCGGGTCTTTCATTTCGTCTATTCAGCAAGACAAATATTACATTTTACTTCAACATAGCATCCCTGCTTATAATTGAAAAGAAAAATGGGATGATCTCGACTATAAAACAAGTTTTCTAAGGCACTGAAGGATCCAGGAAAAATCTTTCTGAAAAGCTTGTAAATTTCACGCTGGTTCAGTCTACCATTGTGTCGCACACACAAACTTTGAAATGAATAAATGATGGAAGGACACAGAAAGAAATATGGTTTAAATTAATAACTATATTAGCTATAAACTCATTTTTTGAATTTATATACGAGTTTAAAAAGGAACATAATCGATCACTCCTTACATTAGAATAACAATTTTATGAACATAACAATTTTATGAATTTTAGTATTATTTCCATGTTCTACTTGACTTTTGTCACAAAAGTATTTTTTTCGAAGATGTAATCGAAATTTATGGACCTTTCCGTTTTTTATGGGTATAATTTTTACCTGTATATATACCAAATTGTTCTACAAAGAAAGTTCTTTTGTGAAATAAAACACATTGTAGGGGTCTTAGGTCAAAGGCAAGT